TTGCCAGCATAGGTATGACCATGTCCCACTTCAGAGAGGGCTCAGCCCTGGGCTGGGAGTTGCCAGCATAGGTATGACCATGTCCCACTTCAGAGGGGGCTCAGCCCTGGGCTGGGAGTTGCCAGTGTGGGGATGACCGTGTCTCACTTCAGAGGGAGGCTCAGCCCTGGGCTGGGAGTTGCCAGCGTGGGTATGACTGTGTCTCACTTCAGAGGGAGGCTCAGCCCTGGGCTGGGAGTTGCCAGTGTGGGGATGACCGTGTCTCACTTCAGAGGGAGCTCAGGAAGTGGTTACTTTGGGGAAAGCCAGTTTTCACTTACTCTAAAGCAGCAGAGACAAAACTGGAAGAAAATCTTCAGCTCATGGAGGAATTTCAGGGCATTCTTGAGAGCAGTGAAGGAAGAGAGTTTGGAGATGGGAAGTGACATGCCATGGAAGACTGAGAAGCTGAAAGAGAAAAACAATGGGAGAGAAAAGTGGCTCAAGGCTTGTTTCCACCTTGACTTATGATTGAGTCTAAAGACATGAGACAGCCGGGGGAGGAGAGGAATGTTGAACAGGAAGTCCAGAACAGGATTAGCTGTCCTGGTGGGCCTTTCCTACGTCCCATCCCAGTCAACAGTCTCCAGTCTGGAGGCTCAGGATCTGGAAATGTCAGCTTGGAAGGTTCTTTTCTCAACTAGTAAGAACCTACCAATTAAGTCAAGCTTCCAGCAACTGTGGAACTTAGGTGGTTTTAAATATTAGTTTAAATATATTTTATAAATAATGAAAGTCTTTCTAAATTACATTATGATAAATAAAATATAAGAGCATATATAACCAGCCAGGTACAAATCAGTGCATTCACTTTTACTCCAATTATTTCAATCTATAAATAAAGATTAGCTTTCAATTGTACTTTAAATTCTTCTGCCAGAGATGCCTCTGGCAATGGTTCTAGCTAGCTTGCAGCTTTGAATGCAAAGACAGAGTCATATTCATCTTTGAATCCCCCCCAGAGTCCAGCATATTACTCTGCGCGTTGAGCCTAGCATAATATTCTGCACATCATAAATATTATTTTCTATTGAAAGTTAACAGAGAGCCTTTGCGGGAAAGTAAAAGATCTCTTTCCTAGTAAACACCTTGGAAGGATAATGCTGTTTTTCAGGCCTATGCTAAGTGACAGGATACGAAGATGGATGAGACAAACTTCCAACCTCAGAGATCTCAGAACCAAGCCCAAAGACAGACCCATACAGAGATCATTGCACTGATGAGGGAGAAAGAGTCTGTCCGGATCCCTCGGGGACTCGGCTTGTTGCAAGTCGGGTGTGAGAAGACAGATGGCTATTTGCCTGACGCAAAAGCGTATTCTTGATAGATGGTATGTCCAGATATTTACTGAGTATCTGCTCTATGCCAGGCACCGTTCTGAGCTTTTGGGAAACATCAGTGAACACAACAAATAAAAACCACTGTCTTCTTGGAGCTTACATTTTAGGTGTTGACTACTCAACCAGCAATAGATATTATCTTAGAGGGACAGTGCTTCCCCCCACCCCTCAAGAATGTGAAGTGTTAAGTGGGAGATGTGTGCATGTGAGCAGAACTACATGGCGTTTCTTCATGTGATCAGAATGTATTCTGCTCGCCTTTTGCAGAATCTCTCCTAACTCTGTTGCATTTATATACCTTTCCTTAACAAACAAACAAACAAACCTTTTGTTGACCTCTGCCCATGACTACAGCTGTTCTCAGCAGTCAGCCTTCTGGTCTCCTTCTACACTGTTAAGAGCCCACACCGGCCCAGCTGGCTCCGGATCTCCCCATTTCTTCTCTTCATATGGTTGTTTTTGCCACCTCTGCTATTCATCGCTCTTCCCATAAGTCATGGTAAGGGTCGCTCCAGGTGCTTCTCAGATTGTCTGAGAACATCCCTCCCCTAATTCTTTATCTTCAGGAGGAGGTCTTATAAGCTAGTGAAATCTTTTTTTGAAACCACGATCTTCCAATAAAGCTGCCAGGAAGTAGAATGAAAGGATGACAAAGTGATTGGGAAAATGATTGTGTGGAAAAATAGATGGAGGTCACAAGAGAGGAACAGGTGTGCAGGGCAAGGTGAGCAGAGTCTGGAGCCAGGCGGGAAGAGAGTGAAATCTTACACAACAAAGACAGCAAGGAAGACCTTCCCAAGAAGTTCTTGAACATGCCTTATTCACCAACAAAGATGGGCTAGTAATTTGGTTCTCCATGGGATCAACATACAGAGGTTTTCTTTTTTCTTTTTTTTTTTTTTAAATACACGTTGCTTCAGGCCAATGAGACTGCAGTTTATTTGACTATTTTGTGGTAGGGGAGAAAGTTGAGTGTTGCTATGAAAGCCCTGATACCAGTAATGGGAATGACGGAATCTGCCAGCACAGGAGAGGTTGGCAGGTAGGTTAGCTGCATCACTTCACAGGAAGAATTTGAATCTTCACCAGAAGGGGTGCTGTCGTCTTCCAGCTCGTACTTCCCGTATCCAACAACATGAACGCTGAGCATTTTACTCCCTGGTCCTCTATGGTCCTTGAACCAGTTGACCAGGTCTGATTTTGAGAATGACTTCAGTGCTTCAATCTCATGAGCAAGACGATCAAAGAGATACTGCTGTGTCACCACTTCATTCCAGTTCCTACCCACCTCCTCCCCAAGGTGGGTGTCCTCACAGTCCTTCAGCTTGATTAGAGCTGTGACCTGGGTGTTGAATGCATCTGCAGTGAGGTTCTCAATCTTCTCCTCAAAGCTAGTAAGAAACTCTTCTATCTTCTCATGAACAAATTCAGAGTTGTACTTGGTTGTCTGCGTTCCCACGGTGACAGAGAATCCTAGAATCCCAGATGTGTTCCTACAGGTAGGGTATACCTGGTACCCAAGAGTCTGTTTGGTTCGAAGGACGTCAAAACAAGGCTCCTCCATGTGCATCACAAGCAGCTCCATAAGAGTGCATTCTCTTAGACTCCTCGTACCTGACTGGTAGTACACAGTGACTTCAGAGTTGGCATCATCCTTGTTCAGAGCTTTCACTTTGCACAGGTGTTGGCCACTGGGCAGCTCTACCACCTGGAACTGCACAGGCATCTCCTGTTCCAGAGGCATGAACTTCAGCTTATCAACAACATATCTGAGGAAATCCATAGATTCTGTGCTTGTGACATTCCCTTGTACCAGGCCCTCAACAAAGAGCTGGGATTTGAACTCTTTAACAAAGCTCAGCAGAGACTCAAGGGAAAGGCCATCCATCAAAGCCCGGTACTTGTCAATCATTGACCAACGAGCATATTCCAGGATTAAAAGCAGCACATCTTTGGCCAGAGTCTCGGGCTTGATGAGGATGTTAAAGTAGGTCTTCTTCAACTGCTCAGTTATCATGGTAAAGACAGCTGGTATAGAGCTGAACTCAGCTAAGTAGTCAATAATAAGCTGAAAGAGTAGAGGTAGTTTGTGGTTGAATCCTTTCACTCGAATAATTAAACCATGTTCACCAGCTACCAGTTTATACTCCAGCTGAGCCACATCTGCTTCATAAGCTGGTTCCTCGAGGTTATGGGTAAGGATATTGACAAAAATATCAAAGAGAACCACATTTGCTGCAGACTTCTGTATCAAAGGTGAAATTAGATGGAAACGTATATATGCTTTGGGGATCTTGAATTTGTTGTCTTTCTTATACCACAGACAACCTTGTGGAGTATTCATAATTTTAATAGGGTATTCTGTTTCAGGACAATCAAAAGCCTTCAATGTGAAGTCCATGGCTATATACTTGTTTTCAGCTGGAAGATGAAGTTCTGAATTTAATTCGAAATCACTTTTCCATAGTTCAGCCCAAGAGTTTTCAACATCTTCAGTACTATACTGAGTCCCAAACCATTTCTCCTTGAGGTCACATTTTCCCTCATTAGCACCAGACAGTAGAACAAGATTTGCTTTCTGAGGAACTAGTTGATTAAGGGCTTCAGCAATGACTTCTGGCTTATATTCAAAAAGTAGCTGATCTCCTGTGAGAAAGTCCTGCAGTGGATACAGTTGCATGTTTTCACACATGTTTTCCACATACTCAACTGGATCTGTCTGTTCTTGGTAATGAAATTCATTATCCTCAATTTTCTGAATCTCTTCAAAAATTCTTTTCCCTGGACCTAGCTTCTGGAGCATTTTTAAATACTGGAAGACAGTATAAGGAACCTCATAGAAATGTCCATAACCCTCATCAGTCAAGGTACTAGAAATGCTGAACAATGAGTAAGTAGAATTTTGCTCAAATCCTGTCTCACCATTTCCACCAAACAGTGCAAGAGCCCAGCATTTTTTTCTTAGGTAAGAAAGAATGCTTCCTTTGCCTTCATGTCCAACCAGCCAGGAGATATAATGAAGTGGCTTCACTCTGTAATGTTGCTGTTGAGGGGGAATTGCCCATGTGATGGTCAGAGCATGAATTTTTCTGATTGGAACAACTCTATAAAGTTTGTTAAATGCTGGTGTGTCAAATGGATCCGTTAAATGGCCGAAGTTTGGTTTGGGTAACCCATTGTTTGGTATCTGAGAGAAGATTTCAGTCACCCACTTTTCTAAAGTATCCAGTGTTTCTTTGGATTGAACCACTAAAGTCATGTAATGAGCAGAGTAGTATCCCATCCAGAATTCTCTCAATCTGGCATGTGTATCAATATTATTCTTTTTTGGCTCATGCTTGAGAGTCTCAGCTTTTCCCCAAAAAATTTCCCCATAGGATGTCCAGGTCTAGCAAGGCTTCCAAATAACATTTCCTTCCTGTTTGCATCAGAAGGTCGTGTGAGTTGATATTCACTACCAACAGCTTCAACTTCACGGTCAGTTGCATCTCTGATCAGTAGTGGAAGGATGAAGAACTGGGCCCATCTATCCAGGGCTTCCTTGAAGTATTTTCTCTGGACGTCAAACTGAAAGACTGTGCGTTCACAATCAGTTGAGGCATTATCACTACCCCCATGTTTCTTCAGGAAGGCATCAAACCCATCCTCATCTGGATATTTCAAACTACCCGTGAATACCATGTGCTCCAAAAAGTGTGCCAGCCCAGGAAGGTCATCTGGATCAGCAAAACTCCCAGCTCCAACACAAAGAGCCACTGCAGACTGTTTTTCAGTGGTTTTCTTTCTAGCTTCTGCTCTCTTTTCTATTTCTTCCAATTCATTATCCTCAGTATCAATGTCGTCATCATCATGTTCATCATCATCATCATCAAACTCATCTTCGTCATCTAAACCCTCTTCATCATCATCTTCTATTTCAGCTCCAGAATCTTCATCATCATCATCTTCTTCCTCTTCTTCCTCATCTCCATTGTCTATTGCATTTCCTGTTTTACCTTCCGTATTAGTTAGGTCTGAAATCAAAAGTGCCTGCAAGCCATTCCGTAATTTGATGTATCAGTATTGCTTGGGGTCGCTGGGAGACTTGACGATCTCAGGGTCTCCAGCATTACTGAGAGACCCTCTCCTCCATCTCTCGTCCTCAGATTCATCTGCTCCTACATGGGCAACCCGGCCGCTCTCGCCCAAATCCTGCCCATTGGGCTGCACGTCAGGGCAACTGCAGGTAGACTTCGCCTTGTTTCTTCCTGGCATGGTCAGAGTGGGAAAGGGTCTGGCAGCAGCAGAGTCTTCGCACCGACCCCGCGCCCCGATTCTCCACAGAGCCGCAAGCTCCCGCCCGGCCTCACCCCACAACTTCCTCCCGGTGGCACAGACTGCAGCAACCCTGACTCTCCTCAGCATTCACCACCACGCTGGAGCGATGGATATCCCGCCTCCCAGGGCCCACCTCCTCCTCCTACTCTTCCAGCCGCTCCTCCTCCGCCGCGTTCCAGAGGCGGTGGCCAACATACAGAGTTTTTCAACATAGACTTTTGACTTCCTAATTTTTTTTTTTTTTTCAGTTTTTGGCCAGGGCTGAGTTTGAATCTGCCACCTCCGGTACATGGGGCCGGTGCCCTATGCCATTGAGCCACAGGCACTGCCCAGAATTTTTTTTTTAATAAAAATGTACTACTAAACTAAGCACATAAACAAATCAGTGTGCTTTTTTTCCCCCCTCTCTCTCTTTTCCTCCTTTGTGAAACAGCTGTGGAATTGGTCTGTGCGTTCAGAATTTTCTGCAGGACATGTTTGTAGTGAAGCCTGGCAGGGAAGAGTGTCTGTGTGGCCTGAGTGAAATATGTGTGGAGAGAGAACCGATTCCTCGTCAAGGTCCTTTTATCTTTACTCTGTCTTAACCACACCTGGCGTGTGTCTAGCTGTGCTTCAATGTATATGGGACGTTTACTAGAGCCAAACTTGATGGAAATCTATTTCAACTAGCAAAATGAAAGGGGTTAAGCTGGAAATGTTTTGTAATTGCTGAATTATCACAACCTTTTCCAGTTTTTTAAACATTTCATTATTATTATTATTAATCTATCAGCCTTAAGTGATGGTCTGTAGTTATAAATGAAACCCTAATGTCAGCAAGCTATTCATTTTGACAGGCTGGATTCTCTATATTCAAGAAGATGGTCTAGTTTAAATAGAGATTAGTAGAAGCAGCACATGTTTACACCTCTGATGACTTTGATCATATGTCTTATGACGGTAGCACCATCTGAGGCAAACCCTGTGGAGACTCCTTCTTTGAATATCAGCATCCTTTCAACAATAAACAGCATTATCTGGGTGTCCTGAAACATCAAACTTCAGCAGTTTTGATATGTTTAGTGATCTAAAAAACTAGAAAAAAATTAACTGTAACTGGGTGGGGGCCATCATCCAATTATAGGTGGAAATGGTGATCGTAAACATGCCTGTGTCAGTCTGGTACCTGGAAAAAAAATTGTTTTCCCCTCTCTTTTTAGCTCTTTTAAAATGTGTTATTGAAGAGAAAACAGTGAACATTAAAAGAGGAGCTGTGGCACTGGCTTACTGAACTTCTGTAACTGCAATTCTGAAGGTTTTAAGCAGCTTTTCCTTGAATGTGGTCGTGTGTGGAGTGGCACACTCCTTGGTGTTGGGCTTACGCTGGAAGCTTCACGGGCCGGATGAAATGCTGCTCTCAGCATCAATAGTTGTTCTCACTTTGGAGACCGGGACAAGATTGGTCAGGGTGCTTTGTCCACTCGGATTTCACAAGCAAAACGAGACGCCCTCCCCCATACCCTCAGTCTTCATTTGCAACTCACAGCTGTATTTTGACACCTGGTATCAGGATTAGTCAAGGCCACTTTGTAAATTTTGACCAAAAATAAACAATAAGAGCAAACACAAACAAATGAAAATGCACAGCAGGCAAAATAAACATTTTTAAGAATTTCATTTCTAAAATTTCATTTGTCTTTTGAAATCTAAATCCGAATACTAGAAAATCATAAAAAATGAACTCTATCTGTGCTGATTATTAGCAGTGAGAAGGAAAGGAAGTAGCTGAGAAAAGGTCATAGAAAAATAAAAAGAAATGTGAGTGCAGAGAGAGGGTTTTGCTTTAATTTCAAGTACAGTTGAAGCCATAGATTTATTCATCAAAAGTTATACAGAAATCGGAATGTTAAGAAATTATAAAAGTAAGGTCAGGCGCAGGTAAGTAAGGTAAGGTAAGACTCATGCTTGTAATCCCAGCACTTGGGAGGCCAAGGCAGGTGGATTGCCAGAGCGCACAGGTTCGAGTTTGAGACCAGCCTGAGCCAGAGCAAGACCCGGTCTCTAAAAATAGCCATGTGTTGTGGCAAGGTGCCTTTAATCCCAGCTACTTGGGAAGCTGAGGCAAGAGGATCACTTGAACCCAAGAGTTTGAGGTTGCTATGAGCTAAGACACCACGGTCACCCTACCAAGGGTGACTTAGTGAGACTCTGTTTTTGTTTTTTTTTTTAAATTAAATGATAGCTGTGTACATTAATGTAATCATGGGGTACAGTGTGGTGTTTTCATATACAATTTGAAATATTGTCATCAAACTGGTTAACATAGCCTTCATTCATTTTCTTAGTTATTGTGTTAAGATGTTTGTATTCTACTTTTAGAAAGATTCACTTGTACCCTTGTAAGATAAACCATAGAGGTGATCCCTCGAATCACCCTCCCTCCACCCATCTACCCTCCTCCCCTCTCCTCCCCCTTCCCATATTCTTAGGCTATAATTAGGTGATAGCTTTCCTATGAAAGCTATAAATTAGTTTCATAATAGGGCTGTGGACATTGGATACTTTTTCTTCCATTCTTGAGATACTTTGCTAAGAAGAACATTTTCCAGCTCCATCCATGGAGACTCTGGATGGATGGATGGATGACTCTGTCTTAAAAAAAAAAAAAAGAAAAATATACCTACTGTGAGAGTTTGCCTGAAGGGAAGCTTTCCAAGAAAACATTTGTTCAGATGAATTCTCCTTATTTTATCTATTGGAAAATTTTTATACACATATTTTTTCATTTGATATACCTCAACTGAATACTGTGAGTTTTTATACCTGGACTGGACCTTAGAATTCTTCCTATCCCCATTTTACAGATAATCAAAGTGAGAAGCAGAAGATTACGTTCCTGGCAACCAAGCAAAGCAATGATAGAATTTAGATGGAAATTTATGTCTCTTTTGTTTTAGACCAGATCTTCATTTGGTCACTCTGCCTTGGCCTTTGCCCTTTTAAAAATTATTTTTAATAAACCTGTGAAAATGATTCAGCATCTCTTGGACACTTATCCGATGAAAAGATGGCATAGCCAACCCTGATTGTGTTGATAATCTATGGGATTTAGCCTATGCAGAACGCAACCCTCAACTGCACGACCTCTGTAAAAATAGTCACCTGGAAGTTGCTTATCTGCGTGGCTCAGTGTAGAGTGTGTGTGCAGGTGTATCCCCACACGCGTGCATGCTCCCTGCCAGGCAAGCTTGTGAGCTAGCCATGTCATACTGTTAATGGTTTTACCTCCTTCCAAGATTAGCAAAGGACTGCTTACTATTTATGATCTAATTAATTGTGTTCTCAGAGAATAATTTTTTATTATAAAAATGCAATAATTAGAGTACAACCTCTAGAATAATAAAACATTTGATAGTTTTTCATGTAAATAATTTCTCTTAATGTTTTACAATATGGCGTCTTTTCCTCATCCTGTTTGTCTAAAATTAATAACCAAGAGATATGACCAGGTAAATACAGTTAACATGTTTTCATTGAAAACTCAATCTTAGGAGGCAGGGGTCCCCTAGGAACACTGGTTCTTTCTTTGACCCTCAGGTCCTCATTGGACAAGACAGTAATTTTCTTGTCCTTGCATACATTCATGTATAAAGTTAGAAGAGAAATGCCAAGAAATTACCTAGGATTGTCAGGAATATACACCTAATTAGATGTGAAATGGTTTGAGATTTTTGAAAGGAAGGCCAAGTATGCTCAAGACATTAGTATAACTTTTCTTAATGCTGATAGAAGAAAAGGATCCACAAAATGTATAATAAGGTCAGTCAGTATTCGTGAAGTCAGCAAGTATATATCACGGTATGCAGAAAGCATGCAGAATTAAGAATCACGAGTCCTAGATTCTGGCTTTGTTCCTGTCACACCTTGGAGAAAGGTTCCTGGGTCTGCATTTCCTTAGTTATAGAATGAGTGAACTAGACTAGCTCTTCAGCACCATTTTTTCCAGGGTTCGTTAATATCGGTTAGGAATTTTGCCTAAGTCTCAGATCTGCGTTAGTTACTATAAAGCTATAGGGCAAGTTTCTAAGTGTGGTTCCTGGACTAATAGCATCAGACAGTTGTTAGAAATACAGACTGTCAGGTCTAACGCTGGACATTCTCCATCAGTACATCAAGAGTAGGGCTCAACAATCTATTTTCACAAGGCTCCAGGTGATTCTTCTGTCCCAAGCTGAAGTTTAAGCACTACTAGTAGAAGTGAAAAAGAATAAAGTATAGCCCTTATTCTTAAATAGCTTATGATTTAGTACTTCTAAAATTTCCAATTGTCTTGCCAATGTCTATATATGTATATATATATATATATGTATAAAATCTAATGCTGTGTGTGTTGAGTATGAATGTAGTAAATTATAGACATGCTAATTGCCAAGACTGTAGTAACATTTAGGAACGGTGTCTATGAAGGCCACTGAGAGACTTCCCCAGGGCAAGGCATTACTCGAGGCATGAAAAATATATATTAGGTCAAGTTTGAATAATAGCGTTAGACAATTGGAAAGCATGTTTATTTCACGTGTGCTTATTGAATGCAGTTTGTTTTTGCTTTAGTACTGGTATTTTTGTTCTAAAGAGTAAAACCAAAGAAGATATGCCCAGAATTTTAATTTTAAAATTTACATTATGTTTATGTTATCAGCACCAGGCACATAACCTCATGCTCAGTTCTCCTCCATGCAATTTTTCTATTACTCTCATTCTAAAATTCATGTGCAATATCAAGAGAAATTTGTAGTTGACTTTTCAGAATGCAAATCTTGTTGTAAAATGCAGCTGAGTATTTGAAACACAGCTCAGTGGCAGGTGAAATTTTGTGGGCACGTAGTTTCAAATACAGCTAAAGTGTGTCACGTGGAGAAAATGATGTCAATATATGACGTGAGTCATAAGTCATTACCTACAGGTCAGAGAGAGAGAGAGAGATCTCCTAATTGATGGGACAGCTATAGGGCATCCTCAAAGTTGCCATACAAATGGGAAATTGTAGATCAATGTACCTTTATTTGCAAAATATTCATTATGAAATTTTACAAAATATTTACCAAATATTATCTACATGTCGGATGTCGTTTGTAAAATTTCATAATGAAAAT